CTGTATTTTAAATCATATTTTCTATAAAACGTAAATCAGAAAATTTTAATGGCCCGTCTTCGGTCCACGGCAACATTTTGTTTTCCACCGGCCCGATTGCCCGTCCATGTCTCGAAATTGAAATCTCGAACTCCCCACCGCGAAGTGCCGTTTTTCTCGTTTCTACCCTCTCCTCGTCACTTTTCACCTTTTCCTCCCTTTTCTCAACACTCAATATTTGCCTATGCTTTGCGCCTAGAGTTTTTTGGGTCGAGCAAACTGGTAGGGGGAATTTGGTGAAGCATAGACCGTATAAAAAACCTCAGATTGTAGGGTTATACTGGCTTAATGAGGTTTTATTACCTCTAGGACCTTAAAATTTATTCTTCGCTGACTTTGACCATCTATTAATGCGTAGTTGCTTATATTAACGCGTAAAGTAATTCATAAATTGTTATCGCCGATTTAACCGTTTCTTTAGTTTATAATTTTATGGTTTTAACGATCGTCTGTTAGTAATGTAACAATTGTTTATTAATGCTTAAATTTAACTATGAGCCAATTCAGACAATTTTCTTGAAGTAGAACTTATAAAAACCAGCTTTTCTCGGGTTTCCGATATTTGAGGTGTCATTATGCGTATTGTAGCGTAGGGTAGTGACCTACTTTAGCAAAAAACGGCTCAACAGTAATAAAAAAAATGTAAAAATATATTTAATTTACTCATCCCCTTGCCAGTGCCCAAAAATAATTCCCCTCCTCCTCACCAGCCTGATGCGTTGAAGGCTCCTCTTCTGCTACCCCTCCCTGGCGGCCGGCTTCCACGCCACAATCTCATGTTTTATTCAGCCAAATGGGGGACCCGGTGGTAGGGAGGAAAAGTTAGAGAAAAAGCCGACGAGGATAAGGAGCCCCGGAAAGCTGGAGGCGCGAATGGCCGAAAAAGACCTTCCTCCTCTTCTTGCTCCTTTCACCGGCCATTCTGGGACGACTTAAAAACTGCGATAAAAAGCCGGTGGGCATGGGAAACTGTGGGATTGGTTCAAGGCGGCGGGTGGCCTCTAAAGGTGCCGACAAGGCAGGGGTATGCGAGGGATTTTAGGCATGCAAAAGTCTAGACACAGAAAAACGCCTTGGCTCCGAATTTCGGACAGGCTTATTTTTTCGTTGAAAAGTTTAACTGGAAAACGCTCGTCCTTTTGTTTTTCCCAAAAATGTCTGTTAGCCTGCCTTTTTCGCGAAGAATCACTGATAGTCTTCCTGAAGAATTTCTGATCGTCTACCCTTTCCTCAAGAATCTCTGCTAGCAGCCCTTTCCTAAAGAATCTCTGCTAGAAGCCCTCCCAAAGAATCTCTGCTAGCAGCCCTTTCCTAGAATATCTCCTGGCAGCTCTTTTCCAAAGAATCTCTTTCCCAAAGATTCCTAAAGAATTTCTGCAAACCCTTTCTTTCTATGGAATCTCTGCTAGTCTGCCCATTTGCCCACTTGTTCTGATTATCATTCTTTAAGGGTACTTTAAAGGTGTTTTTAAACCCGAGAATTTAAAAAACCTTCTAATGGCTTAGTATCGACAACTAATTGTAAGTGCCACTCCAAAAACGCATCCGGGTTTTCGCTGAAATTTGACCACTGTAGTACTAGTAAAATTTCATTTTTACGCGGAATTTGCCGTAATATGGCGTTGCCGACACCTAGCAGAGTTTAGGGTTCGAATCGAACGCTTCTCGATCCATTTATTTTGGCGTTTTTGGCCCTTCCATTTCTGGCGAGATACGGTATCGCAGAACTCTGTCTTTAAGCGTTTTTTACTATGCGCAGGCCGTTTCTGATGCATAACCCATTCCCTGTTCCGCAACATCCTCTACGCGTCACTCGCGCAAAAAAAAACGATCACGCAAATGTCCCCTCTCCTCCATATGGTCGTGTTCAATCACGCCGACCATGCGGGACACGCGCACAAAATTTCCCTGCTACAATTTTTCGCCTGCCTTTTCCGGCCGCCCCAATCCAGCTCGAACGGAAAATACTCGAAAATGCTCATATGCTAAACGGGGACAGCCCCCCCACCCCGCCCGTATTTTTGAAAACCAAAAACAGGATGGGAAGGGGAATTTGTGGCTCCCAAAAAAGGCTGAGGTACTTGTAGCATTTTTCGATTAGCAAGCAGGATGGGGTGGAATGAAGTGTTGACGGGTACTTTAAAGGGAGTGTGACAGTAACGGTAGAGCATTCAGAAAACGGTTTACAGCTTAAGCTTTAGCCATTGAAAAACTACCTTTTTCTTTCGTTATTTCAATCTCATAATCATTTACACCATTAAAATCTCGCTAAATTTTATACACGAAGGGCAATTTTGCTAAATTAGCAAAATTATGATGTTTTAACCAATTACGCTATCAAATCAGGTGAAATGGACAATTTTGCCTGAAGGCGTTAATTAAAGCCAATTAATCTTTCGCTTAACTGAATTTTTTAACCGATCACGCTATTAAAATCAGGTTACAAATGTGATATTTTGTTTTATTATCGAGTACTGAAAAGTAGCATTCTAAGCCTAACGGCAAATCCATAGCCAATTACTCCATTAAAATCAGGCTGAAAATACCATAATTGAACGTAGATTCCGTCCAATTCAGATTTGTCTAAAAGCACTTGCTCAAAAATCCTCCGATCTCCAACTTTTCCGACTCCAAAAAAATCCGCACGACCCCGAAACGGATCCCCCCCCATCCACCAACTCGGCGATTGCCCTATATTTTTGAGGTTCACCGAGCAGGGAGCACGACTCCCTCAGAACCACCTACAAAAAGAGGGCTCAAAAAGGCGCGAACCCCCAAATTTCGTGTGAGAACTAGGGACAACTTTTTGTAGAGTTTATTCCCGGAGTCCCCCGGCCACACAACTCCCTAAAAAGGGGGAGGCGTGAGGCAAAAGAGGGTGAGATAAGAATCTGTCCCGTGTAGCCGGGTGCCTGATAAAATCGGCGCCTTTTTGGGGGAAGGTGAAAGGGGTGGGAACACCTGAAAACACGGCCGCTTTGCTTATCTTGGAGAGTGGTTGCGTAACGGAATTTCCGCCGCCAAGGGGGCACTTTTTATCAAAGCAGAGAGATAAGAGCCAACAGCTGTTTAAAGTGAGGGTTTTAAAGGGATGGTGCCAGCTGGGTAAGCCCCTTAACTCCATCATTTTTATGCGGCGTTATCGGTTTCAACCAAGGCGCTAGGCCATTTTTTATCAAGCCAGAGATAGGGTGGTGTTTTAAAGGGATTGTGCCAGCTGGATTTAGCAGACGCGTAGGTGGTACATGGCATAATCGGTTGAAATTTTGAGGCTGAATAATAGTGCGTAATCGGTTGGAATTCGTAGTTTTATCTTGAAGAATGGCTTCTGGTTGTTTAAAGCAACCAAAGCATAATCCTGTCCAAACAGGTCCTGAATAACATTGCGTAATCGATTGAAAATTACTGAATTTCGGAGTGATTTGGCTAATGGGCCTCTTGAATTTATCGAAATTTGCCGCAGATAAAAAGGGTTAATACCTAGCGTAATCGGTTAGAAATAGCTTATTAATGAGGCTCAGCAAGATTCAATGGTCCTTTAGTAGAATAATTTCAAAAAATTTGCTTTTTCTTCATTTTTGGCAGACTTAGCCGTCTAGAAATCCGATGAATAGCATTGCGTAATCGAATAGAGAATAGGTCCTACTGGTTTTTACCTAACTTCCGGGACGCCTAAAGCATCAATGTTCGCTTCCGTTGCCCCCAGATGTCCAGCCCAGATATGCGGCCTAGCGCAAAAGCCCCCAGCAGCAGATATCCACACGGAATATCCAAGCCATGGGGGCCACATGGGCCCCCCTCCCCTAGTAGAGGTCTACTCTAGCTCCCTCTCAGAATGTAGGGGAGGCAGAGAGCCCGGGGAGGGATCGGGCTCAATCGAGAGTGGCCAGACATTCACATCACATCGAAGGGGTGGAGAGACGACGCGTCGCGGCCCTTCAGTGGTGGCCTCAAAACCCACCTGAGCCCCCAACAGCAGGCCAGCCAGTAGCAGCAGCCAGCGCCGCCCCGCCAAAAGTGTCACTCGGGCGCGGCATATTCAAATTAGCTGATTTATTTTGACATTTCTGACCTTGGACGATACCCCTATTCGATTACGACAGCTATTTCTGAACCATGGTGGCCGTGGCGAATATTGCCGTGCCGATTGGGCCCCGGATACAGGTAGAAAACTGGATTTCATGGATTTTCACCGAGGATTACGATACTGATTAAGTTGCAACGGTTCTGATTAACTTTAAGAATCCGATACCTAGCCATTATTCGTGTTCTACGAATTTAAGGCCAACGGATTTCAATTCGATGACGTTATTTGCTGTAGTAAAAAGGTTTTTCGATTATATTTTTTCCTAAATCATTTATAAATAGCAAATCATATCCTATTATATAAATTTTATATTGACGGATCTAAATTTTAGGAAGTTTTTGAGGATAGAATCCGTTTGACCTTGGCCGAGTTTTTCTAGCCGGATACACTGAAAACTCATGTTTTCTGCAAAATATGGAGATTCGTATCCCCTTGCTACTATTTTTACCGACCGCACTAAAACGCTTTATTTTTAAAGTATTTTTACAATCTAGGGTTTTTCTGTCACATTTGTGCGTTTTTTCGGAGTATTTCACATCGTAAACTTTCCCACGGTTTTTGGCGCATTTATCAATCGCCGAAGTGCGATATCTGCGCATTAATGGAAGCCCAAAAATCGATTTTTCTGTCAGGCAAACTCATCTCATCATGAAAACATGAATTTTTAGGATTTTCTGTAAATTTCGGGCTGAGTAAGGGTGTATAAGTCGGGCGTCGATTGATTTTTGATAGGATCTTGTCCTCTGAACCCGCGTAACCGATGTTTCAGCCCAAAAAGAGTAGTTTGGCGTCCTATAAACGTTCTTTTATTCCTAAATCGCTTTTGTATTTATTAAACTCTACAAACCAATTATTAACGGCTCTTTTTCAGAACATGCAGGCCCTCTACCAGCTGTCCTCCGGGGCCACGCCGCAGGCTTATCAGACGCCCGGCCAGGTAAATATTTCCATCTTTTTATGCCAGCCGTTCTTTTCCTCTTTCTTTTCCCTCTGGTTTTTCAATAGCGTAAACAATAGCCCGGGCGGATGGCAACTCCGGCAAAATACGGGGTTACCGTTATATTTTCCTAGTGATTTTTGCCGACTATTACAAGCCATATTCCTACTGCTAAAAATAAGATGGTTATCATTTTGTTGGTTAGTTTTTGAGGGGTTTATGCTAATTTTCTTGGGTTTTATTATTTTCTAAATTGTTCAAAAGCTTGAAAAATCATCTAATTTTAGAGATTTTTTAGAGGTGTATTTTAGAGTTTTTTTACTGCAGGTTTCGAGAGAAAAATAACGAAAGGCCTGGAAATCGGAATATTAAATTTTAGCAAGTTTTCGTAATGTTTTACAGTATACTTAACGTAGTTTATCCACTCCTGATACGTTTTCCGATTCCTATCCCCACCCCGCTAGACCTCGATGTTTTTCGTCACCGGCTCAAAAATAACACACAAACCGTGGGGTACGCACGATTAGTCACTCGGCTTGCTTTCACAGTCTGAGTGTAGCCCCGGGGTATCGGCCAAATAGAAAATGGAAAACGACCTCTCTCTCTCTCTCTCTCTCTCTCTCTCTCTCTCTCTCTCGCTATCTCTCCCTCTCTCTCCCTCTCTCGGTCTCTCGCCTTTTCACACCTCAAAAAGCCATATTTTTGCGATAGCTGAACGAAATTTCCCTCCATTTATTACCCTATCAAAAACAGGAAGTTGCGGCTCGTTTTGATCGACGCCCACGGTTTTTGGGTTGAGTTTTTGGCTCGTTTCCAAATTCTTCAGCTTCTTCTCTTGCTAATTGTGGTTTTTAGTAGTTTTCTTCCTTCTTGCTGGCATCCTTTTTCATCGAATTTCAATCCCTTCACCCTCACGTTCCCTGCCCAAGAAAGGCCTTGAAAAACAGTTTACGGCCCCCGGCCCAGCCGGTCGTAACGAAACCGCGTAGGGAAGATGTCTGCTGGAAAAAAAGCGAAATTGAGGAAAGGAATTCGGTAGCGGCAGGTGGAAATTTCCAATGGACTTGGCTCGATTAGCGATTGTAGTTTGTTTCCCGAACTAAAGAAGATTGATTTAATTGATTTACATTATTTAAAACGGTTGCTTTTCGGAAAACGTTTTTCTTTGAATTTGATACGTTTTGTCAATCCGTTTTCCGGATTTATGAAGAGCGAAAAGCGAAATCTTGGCACTGGTTCCAGTGGTAATAATTCATTTTCCCTGGAATCCAAGCCGTCAACCGCATATAGGAGCTACGCGTAGTCTAAACCTAAAACCACAAAAAGATGTTTTTCTTGCCATGTTCAGCTTGACTTTATTTTTTAATGGTTAGGTATCGTTTCGCTCTTAGATTCACCGTATTAATCCAAGTTTTTTGGATCCTGGCATGGCTTCAGTAGCATCAATGACCTCTGCTTATTGTTAGTTCCCGGTCTTCCCTAAGCAACTTCTCGTCCCGAACCTCTAGGTGTTAGGGTGGTTCTAGCGTTCCGTACGTTTCCAAAAATACCTGTTAATTTTTATTTTCCAGCCATGTTGTTTTCAGGAAACTTTTTATGTTTGGCTTGAAGTTATCCCCCTCCTATAAAATTTCTATCACCTCCAGAACCCTACGAAAATCTCGGCTAGTTGCCATTCCCAGCCATTTTTCCCCTCGGCCTCCGATTTCAATCCATACCTATGGCCTTTCGGTCGTTGCGGGCGTTCGTAGCCAGCGACCCTGTGCTGTGAGAGACTCGATTCTCTTCGGGTGCCCCGGGTTGAAAAGCAAATATACAGGCCAATGTGGCTGTGGCTGGCTGGGATAGAAAAAGAGGCGGAGGAGGGCAGAGTGCCATCCTCCTCCCCCTGACTGTTTCTACCCTAAAACGCGACCCTTTGAAGGCCACCGCCACACAAGACTCGGCTAGTACGCGACACTCTGCCAAAATGACGGCCGACTGTCCACGCTTACACATACGGCCATTTCCCTATTTTGCGCGCCCCATTTTGTCGAGTGGCCCATCTCCATCCACTTGTAGCCGTCGGGGGGCCAACGATCATTTTTGGTCTTCTCGAAAGAGTGCTCGTTTTGGTTACGTAGCACGCCTGTTTACGTGTGATTTTTGCAGGGAAAACTGAAATTACGCCTTTTTACGCCCGGGCTCGTGCAAATCACTTTTAAAACGGAAAAATACTATATAAAATTCTATGATAAATCCTAATACATTTTCGAAAATCCGCGCAACTTCTAAATTCTCTAAATTTGGATTTTTTCAAATAAATTGCTTAATTGTTTTTGTAAATACCGAAATTATGTTTATTTTTGCCTAGTGGATAATTATGAGATTACTAAACGTTTACAAGATTTTTAAGCGCTCTAAAGCAGTCTTTCCTTAATAACTCCACAATAATCACCTTGCGAAGCCTTTCCTGTTTACCCAGAAATTTCCCAGCCGTTCCACATTTTCGCTTCTAAATGGAACCCTTATTCTTCTGGCCGTCAATTAAATATCTATTCTCCGCTCTTCTACCTTCCCTCGTAGGAGCCTCCTGCCTCGCGACTTACTATTAGTCTATAACTAGTCATTATTTGTATAGTTAGACCGATTTTAGCTTTAATAATGAGATTTACGTTGATTCGGAAGACTATTCGATGAATATTACGCTTTCATTTCGTAATTTATTTAATATGCTGTCAGGTTCTTAATTTTTAATTTTTGTATGGCTTAGTCCTAAAAATTTACCGATTTTCCTCGTTTTTCTGATTCATCCGCTAGTTATTTATTTTTTGAATCAACTTTCAGAATGTTTTGTTCAGCCTTAAAAGCGATTGCTTGTCACATCCAAAACCTTGAAAGGTGATATTTTAAATATTTTTGGGTTTTGGAAAAAAAAACTCCACATTTCCTTCATAACAAAACCCATTATGTAAATCTCAAATCCCCGCTCGAAATCCCCATAAAATCCAAATTCCCATTAGGGGCCCCGTACCCTCGTCAGGCCGGAGGGCCCCCTCCGGCTTCACCCCCTTCCCAAAGCAATAATCCGTGAGCCGTTATGAGTGAGGAGCTGTGCTCTAAACGGAAGATGGCCCTTGCTCTCCCTCCCTCCCTCTCTCTCTCTCTCTCTCTCTCTCGCTCTCTCTCTCCACTCTCTCGCCGACTATTTGGTCGTTTCGAGCCCTCAACTCAATAGTGAGAGCCTTGGGGGTGGGCTATGGTAGAGATGCGGTGAAGTGGGCCGCATCCCTCCTTCAATATCCATCTCTCTCTCTCTCTCCGACTCTCTCTCGCCTCGGTTTGACGGTCACTTCGGCTATTTGCCGTTCGTTGGCGCGCCCTCCGGGGGGCTTTTAGATGAGTGTGCCCAAGTGCACCTACACAGCACCATGTACGCAGGGGCTTTTGAAGAAGTTGTTTATCACTTTGAAAGAATTCGCTACTTTCTCTCTCTCCCTCTCTCTCTCTCTCTCTCTCTCTCGCGGTTTGTTTTCACAGTTTCGAACTTCGTTTCTATAGCCATTTCGTTTGAGCGTCGGCCAAGTTCTCAATTCTTTTCATGGTTTGGAAATTGAAATCTTGGCGGTACTAATAATACTGTCTAGTAGGTCTTATCTACAGTATTTCCTAAGAATTAAAACCTATATTTTCAAATATGTGCTCCTTTTTCAGGCACCCGTCCAGCTCGGGCTTCACCTCGCCAACGGGATGACCATGTCCCCGGCCCTCCTTCAGCACCTCCAGGCCCAGCAGCAAGCGGCAGCCGGTTCGTTCATTTATACAGTTTTCCTTGGACGATTTAAGCATTAAAGCTATCTATTGGCTTGAAATTAGCTTTTTAAATTATTCCTGGCCTTGAATTACCTATCCTAATCGCCTAAGTTCTCAGTGTTTCAACCTTTCGGTAAATTTTGGCCGGAATTTCGAGCGCAAAGTCCGCTTTCTGGATAACCTTTTCTTAGCAGATCACCGGGCTGTAATTTTCCTATCAGCCACTTTTCAAATTTTGTTACCTCAAACTTCTTTTCCACCTCTACCCGCGCCCTCAAAAAAACGGGTCGATCCGCGAATCCTGTCCTACATGGCGGGGTGACCCTGGTAGATAGCATCTGCTTTCTATTGTGTGCCCTCACCCGCCTCTGGCGAATGGAGGAGAATCGACGAGGAGCAGGAGGCGGTTGTGAAAAACTTTAGCTCTAGGCTTTTCTGTAAAATTAGAAGGATTACGGTGCTTTTATCATTTCCAGCATTTTCCTTCAAGTCTGAGGACTCCTAAGCTAGGCCTCAGCTAAGCCGAAGCTAAGCCTAAGCTAGGCCTCAGCTAGGCCTTAGCTAAGCCTAAGCTAAGCCTAAGCCCAAAACCCAACCAACAAATCCAATTTCAACCCCATTTTTTACAGATTTACCATTTCCTTTTGCAAAATCATAATTAAAATCTCCGGGCGTTTCTCGATTTTGCTAGATAAGAGGCTGAACCTTCCTTCGGCCAGACGGCTTCTGGTGAAGGGATAATTGAATTCCGGCCTCCTCACACACAGCCAAATCTTGGCCACATCTGGCCCTTCAGCTTCTTCCTCGGCTTCTTTTCTTCCGAAGTAATCCCTCCTCCCTTTCCTAGCTAGCATACACAACTGCTTGGCCTTGGCCTGGGCCCTGGGGTGGCTCTGGTTCTGGGCCCCAGTTATGTATATAATGGCATTCCTTACTGCTTCTACTGCTGCTGGTGCCCTTATGGCTGGTGTTCAGGGCTTTAAAACGTAGCCTGGTGCACGCTGGGAGCTTTTCAGGCTTTTTTATTTTGCTGACGTCCCAGCGGAGGTGTTTTTACCTAACAATTTTTCGTTTTCTGATTTATTTTTGAAATTTATCGAGTTACCATAATCACAATCCAGATTTTCAAAAATTTTCCGGTATTTTCCGAATTTGGTATTTTTTGGGAGGCGCTATTTTTCAACTCCGTAATTTTTATGCAATATTTTCGAAAATTCGGTGTTTTAACATTTTCTCGACTCGATATCTTCGAATTTCGCGTCTATTGGTTTTTTAAACATTTTCTCTATATTATTTTCGGCATCTAAGCCCCTCTAAAATTCCCCGATGGCAGTTACCATACCCCATGGCACCATCCATCCATTTGACACCCCTCCAACACTCTCCTTCTCCTCCTCCGCGGTCTCCTCGCCTTGGCCATCCCCAAATTAGGCATCGTTGTCGTCTTCCGACACGCCGCTATGGCAGAGCACGAGCGCGACTCTCTGCCCAATTAGACCCCGAATTCAGCCTCCGACATCAGCTAGAGAGTAGAGAGCCAGAGAAGGAGGATGAAAATGGAGGGCCCAAGTGGCAAGGGAAGAGCCCACAAATCGTATTCCGCCCAAGGCAACTTGACGCTCCTCTCGGGATGAGGGGGGCATCTCGTTACTCCGGAGCTCGAGCATCGAGGAAGACGATGTTATTTTAGAGGGAAGTTGGGAAGTCAGGATGTCGAATGTTTTCTCCACCATTCCTTTAACGCCCGTGTACCGTATTCTCAGCATAAATTATTGTCTAGGCTAAGTGGCAACGCTTGTTTAAGAGTCGTTATCAAATTCAGATGTCGAATCTGCATTCGGTTTTGGTGGTTACTTTCCTTCAGAGAGCGTCAAATGCTGTCGCTCTTCCGTTAAAGAGCTGAGAATCGTTATTTGGTCCCTAATTTAGATTTTTCTTGCTGCCACCAACCCTTTAAGACGCAAAACCGAAAAGCGCTCATTTTGACACGATGTCCTTAAGAAATGTAATATCGTAGTCTACCGTAAGCCTGGGTTTCCCTATTCCTGCTGTCACCATCCCTCTAAACGCCTCGGAATCCCCGCGCTAAACCAAATACTACGTGATTTCGGGGATGCGCTTCTAAATTTCCCCCTGCGGTCGCGGCCCCTTAAGGGGGATGTAGATGATGTGGAGTATGTAGAGGCAGAGGTAGAGATAGGCAAGGGGAGAAGAGGGAGGACGAGATGTAGATGTAGGGAAGGAGAAGCAGATGGTGAAGGAGCAGGAGGTAGTATAAGAACTAGTAGAAAAGAAAGATGCCGTCCCGGAGAAACAAGGACCCGTCCCCCTCCTCCCGTCGGTCGGTCGGAGGGCCCAATTTGCCCCAAGTGGAGACACCTCCTCCCTGTGGCCAACACACGGACCCTTCCCTTTCTTCTTTCCTTTCCCTTTTTCATTCTACTCTCAACGGCTTTTCCTCACTGCCGGCCACTACCCCCACCCAACGGAAAGTTTATTGATTCACCGGGTGTTCCGTAAGGATATGCAAAAATAAGGTTTTTTTTGAGGGGTTTGGAGCTAGGGGTGTAATTTGGAGCGTTTTGGTGCCGGATCGATGGATTTCGGACCATCTTAACCCTTCTTAACCCTGCTTTCATACCGTAATATGTAATTTACGCTTTAACGTATGGGAAGAAGCTACGATTTCTCCGATTGGATAGTTTTTATGTTTCATTTGAAGGATTTTGGATTTTTTCGCGTGCGTAAACAAAGCTTAATGCTAAATTTAACGAGTTTAACGTACCTCCGGACCTACGGTGCGCAGTATCCGGTTTGTTTACATAAAATTAGCCAACGTTAGTGGTTAAGGGTAAATACTCTGTCTTTTGATTTGCGTTATTTTTTTGAAAAGCTGATCCATTGTGTTTTTGCTTTTCTGTCTCGTAATTAAATAATTCCTGAAAACTTGTACTTCCAAAAATCATGGGCCTCTTTTTCAAAATCCAGTTGCTACATAATTTGCAAAATATACAAACGACACGTGCCTTTTTACGGTCCGGCGTAATTAAGTGTTTCCCGTAGCCTTTCCCAAGGGGCCTGATTGGCACAGATTTCTCAGTTCTTAGAATTTTTCAAAGCGTATTTTGATCGGGATTTACGGGATCGGCAACTCAGGTACAAGAAATTAGTTGTACTCTCTCGGAAAATCCGATTTGTAGAAATTTTTAGGCAATTTTTTGATAATTTTTAAGAGCCGAATTTCGCCAGGATCCTGCTTCAAAACTTAATTGAAACTATATATAAGCTTATTTGAACTCCGCATACTATAAAAATTATATTTTTGCGGTTTCACAATTTTTAATAGCGTATTTTCAATTTTCATAAATTTTGCGCATTTCAAGTTTTCAAAAACCCAACCCGCTGCCAAAAATACTTGTCAAACTCCTCCTCGTTGGAGTCGTGTGGTGTGGTTGGTTGCCATTTCTAATCCCCCTCCCCAACCCTCCCTTTTTTTTCGTCGTCTTCTAATCTCCTAAAGGCAGCTGCCGGCCCTCGAGTTTGGGTGCACATTGGCAACGCCCCGACGCGAGGAAGCCGAATTTTCCTATTCCATCCCTGGGCCATCAGATGGCCCCCAATTTGCACCCCACCACCTCGGCCAGATACCTCACCGCCTACTAGGGCTTCTGTTTTTTGGGGATCAGGGCGGTGCGACGAGAGCGTAGGACTTGCTCGGAGAACAATTTGGATCTTGTCTTTCTGATCCGTTTATTGGTCTAGTCGAAAGCGCTCTACTAAGCTACGGTAATCTATCGTACTCTGTATTTTACCGCTGTTTTCGTCATTTTTAAATTCCAAAT